TGATAGGAGAAGTTGTCTTTAAATACAACACCTATAATTTCATTATTCGAAATCCAGGCTTCCTCCAGGGCGCTCTCATTGTCCAGTGCCTCTAGTTTTATACCTGTAGTTTGTAAGAAAAATATTGCAATGAGCTTCTGCAGGTCTGGAAATGTGTGCACAGGCACTGGATATATATTCTGCTTTTTTAGCGTCGCAACTCCTCCTTTCCAGTTCTCCTCACTGGGCAGGGTGGCACCTTTAAATACTTCATACTTTACCAGTTGGGAAGAAGTGAACCTCAAAAGAACGAACCGCTGTGTCTTAATAGTATTATTCTACAAAGGCAGAGCTTTAGAGCTCAGAAGCACACACTGACCTCACTAGTAAGTTAAAGACTAGAGAAGAAATATTTGTTGAGAATGGAGGATTTGGGGTGAATTTTCTCTACTGACCAAAGATACTGGAGAACACTAAAACATAATGTATAATAGGTTAAATAATGACAAAGCTAAGTATTTAAAAGGCAAAACATACCTATCATTACAGAGTTCAAGACCACTTTATTCATTATCTGCCTTGTGGTCACAGTGATGGGTGTAAAAGCGATGGTGACCCCAGTGGCATCGTAGGCAGGATCATCTAACTGCCCGAGGTAGCTGTAAGGCACTTCGGGGTAGCGGATGTTCATCATGAACGTGCACACTGTGAACATCAGCGGCAGAAAGAGCAGAGAGAGCATCCACTCCTAGGCAAGGGGGAGAGCGGAGAAGAGAATTTAATAGTATAACAGTATAAGAGCATATTCTCTGTGGGATTAAAATATAAAGAAGAGGCACTCAGTCACACCGGTTTCTTAGATGTCAACTGACTAACAAGGTCTTTGCATTGTGCACGTCACCTCAGTAAATTACTTCACCCAAAGAGCCCATCTGTCCTCTCATACATCACGTAAGAGATAGAAATATTATCAGTTAAAAAAGTAAAGTCTTGTAAAGTGTTCATTCCCAGTCAGGGCTTTCCAAATGTACTTTAATTTCAACTTTACAAAATGAAATTGAGGTATAGGGGCAGGCAGGGATTGACCACTCTTCAGTAGTTAGTTTCTCACTTTTTTCTTTTTTTTTTTTTTAGCTTACCTGAAAGCTCTGCATTTTCATCCTCCACTTGATAAGTACATTTTTCCACAACAGAATTTTGGTTTGCTGGAATACACTCATATTTCTCTGAAGTGTCTTCATCTTTGAATCTACAAACAATTTTTTAAAAATTACTTTCAAGTACAACAAAAGGTGGAACAGCAGTGACTGCTTTTATTTGCACAGTCCTTGCACATGTGCACAGTAATACTTTCTTTCCCTTTTTACTGCAAAAGAGAGAGCTGAAGCAACTCAGACCCCCTGTGCCGAGCACAAGCCAGCCCTGCAGCACAGCTTCAAGCAGTGAGGGACCAAGAGACCTCATTGTCCTCAACGTACTCCCCATCCTTGTAGCTCAGCAGTAAGACACTGATTATAACCAGAATTTCATGCTTCCATGCTGTAGCATGGTAAGGCTGAGAGGAGATTTTTATGAAATAAAAAAGGGAAGATCAGACTACATGACCTAATCGGCTTGGGTGGCCTTAATATCCAAGAAATAACGACGACAACAACATGGTCAATTAAAATCACCAAAATCTTTTCGCATGTAATTTTAATGTGCTATAGGCTTCACACCAAGACGTGTCGAGCAACTCCTGGCTGTGGTGTGAGCTGAGGTCATACGGGAAGCAGTGTTGATTGAAGGCAACTTGGAGCTACGAGAGAACAAATTCTTGGAAGTGCGTTTGGAGAGCTGTCATTGACAGGGATATTGATGGGAAACGAGAGAAACAGCCACGAGCATGCGTTGGTGCGTTACTCCAAAAGACCTGGCAGCATCCTTAAAAAGATGTGGCCAAAGGAAAGCAAGGATTTGTTGCCTGGATTAATGCTGGTGGTGGAAACTTAAAGAGGTAGGCATAAAGTGAGCTGTGAGAGTAACTTTTGCAGATGAGATATGTCCATATTAACATCAGTAAAAGAATAATTAATAACTCCAATGAGCAAAAGGACTAAGTATCCAAATGCAAAAGGGTTACACTCAGATAGCCACACTGCTCTGCTGTCACATACGTAGCTAAAATATGCTTCCAGACAAGATCTCGATCTTCTCTAAGTGAAGTCTCAGGTAGAAATATCAGAGCATTTATAGACTTAATCCTTCCAAACCTTCCTGTCATACAGAAGGAGGATTTACATAGTCTTGTTCCCTTTGGGGAATGATGCCTCACGGTGCTGACAGGCAAGACAGAGTTTATCTTCTTCCAAATATTTATATTCAGCCCACAGGAGAGGCACATCTCCACTGTAACAAGGCAGCAGGCACCGAAATGCTGGAAAAGCAGCTGTGACAAATGGTCTTCCCCGGGTACATGCTGCAAACACATGCACTGGCACGGCACGTGGGGAGCATGGGGCAGGGACACTGGCTCAGTGGCAGAAATCTGCTGTTTTGCCATCGATCTCTGAATAGGTTTTTCTCTTACAGATGATCTCACTAAATCCAGGCGTACAAAAATTTGAATTTAGCCTGTGCTAGCAATCTCTAGACTTCCTTGAGGAGACTGCAAAGTTAAACTTGCAATTGCTTGGTCCTTTTTTCACCTAACAGAAGCAAGGTTTGAGGCAGCGTGTATCACCCGTATGCATTTCCACAACTGAGACGGGATTTGTGTCACAGCTAAAGCAGGTTCCCAGTTTGTCCTTCGTTTTAATAGTCACATAGAGTAATGTCGACAAGCTGACACACCGCTGGAGTTTCAGCTTCACACCCAGGAAATCCTGGGTAGGATGGAGAGCCGGCACACCAGGTACCTGTTGCGGATGTCCCATGTGTCTCCCCTCCCCGTCACCCCTCAACGCTGCCTGGCCCCCAGCCGCGCTGCTGCAGAGTTTGAGCAGTTGGGGGAAACTCGGCAGAACTGATCTCGTTGCTTTCAGTATTTAAGGGGAATTTTTAAGAGCTTAATGTGGACAGAAGACTTT